GAAAGAAGCGATGGGAGAAGGTGAAGGGTCTACAGGTGCAGCAAAGGGAGCCAGGGAAGAGGGGAGTGGAGGAATAGAGGGGTCCACGTCCCCCGTGTCAGGGAGGTGGTTGGCTGCTATGCCAGGGGGCCAAGAAAAAGCTATCGCAGAAGAACGGGACTTATGATCAGGATCAATTTCTGGAGGACAGGTGGGCGCCACGGAGGCTGCAAACATGCTCCTCTGTGAGTGTTTTGGTTCTGCAGATGGTGGGATGTGGCAAGTCGAAGGAGCTTTGCAACCCTGGGAGGCAGTCTGTCATCTATGCTGAGGTGCCTGGCACGGTGGGGTCCCTGGGGCAGGAGAGAAAGCAAGCGGGCAGGCTGCAGACGGGGACTGGGATTCGGAGGGTGTTGGAATAAAAATCTTGCAAGTGGATAAACCCCTCCAAGGGCGGAGCTAGTGTTGAGTGACGGCCGTAGCTGCTGGCTGCAGGAGGTTTCTGGGAGGGGGACGTTGGTCTTGTCCCCAGCTCCGCCCTGGGTTTGCCTCTTTGCTTTACAAAGTGAAGGGGGAGAGCCAAGGGGGAAGGGAGGTTTCGGGTCGGGTTGGGTGACTGATGAAAGGTGTTATGTACAGTTTTCTCATATTTGTTCTGGGTGTGGCAGGGCCGCATGCACCACCCGCTGATAGGATACAGGAGACGGAGGAAGGAGACCAAGACCTCAATGTGACCAGAAACGCACCTTCTGAGTCACGAATTGGAGCTGGAGGGAGTTCACTTATGTTGGGAGGAAAGGTTGCAGGCGGCGTTGTCTGGGCAATGCGGTGCTTAGGATTTGGTACCTCCTGTTTAAACGAAAGGTCAAGTTCAAACTTAGAGAGTTTCTATTTGGTACAGGTTCCTCCCTCCCTCCACCTCACCTTCCCAACTGCCAACTAAGGTATGTAGCCTGTGTCTTTGTGGTCGCATGGGCAGTCCGCAAGGTATTTAAAGACTGGCTTGCGTGAACCGTGTCCTGGAGTGAAATGATCTCCTCCGTGCCAGGCAGTGAAAGAACCGTGGGCTCAGATGGTGTGCTTAGTCTGCTGAAGCTGCTTGGACTGAGCAGCTCTCAGGGCGAGCCTGGGCGTCACCCATCCTTGCACCCCCACACCCAGCCCTCTGGGCTCTGCCCAGTTAGCCTCCACCGCCTGAGTCAGGGAAGAGCATTGTTATCACAGTGTGGAGAACGACAGCACGTCTGCCTTTCTTTCCTCGGGGTGTAGATTTGGCTGTTTCTTTTCTTTGGTCCTTTTTCTCAAGGTGCAGTTCAGGGCTCCAGGAAAGCCCAGTTGGCACAGCAGCGGTGCCTTCCCTGGGGAACCATTTCTGACTTCTCTTCCTCAGTCTTTTTTTTTTTTTTTTAAAATAAAATCCCATATCAAAGGGATCCTTGGATCAGGCGACTGGCCCAGGGGTAAGGGAGAGGACCCCATCCCAGTTGTTATTTAAGCCACACTTCCTTTTTCTATCATGCCCAGAGGCAAAGCAAAAAATAGCGATCATGTTTACCCAAACACAGGGCTAGCCATAGTTAATTCTGACCCTCCCTCCGTTCTGCCTCTTTGGAGCCCCGTCCTTGACCTTGGCTGCCTCACTGCCCAGTCCTGCTGGCCCCGGGGCCCCATCTGTGCAGCGTCCATTTTCTCCCATTGACTTGCCCCTGCAGTGCATTCTGGGGACTCAGGTGACGTATTGCTGTGTTAATGAGTGTCCAGCCATGTGCTTCCCCCCCAGAGAACTTTAGGGCTGTAAAGAGATTCTTTTAGAACCTGCCTTCCAACTTGACCTTATAAGGTTGGAAGGAAATGGCGGGGGCTGCCGTTATTTGGGGGCACTCCATGTATAGGGCAGGTTGCTTGGTCTGTCCATAGGGATCAAACAACCCCAGAGGGCAGTAGGAACCCCTCCCAGTCTTACTGAGGTGGCAGGTGTGGGTCTGCCAGGGCGTCCTTTTGCTGTAAACCCCGAGTGAGATCAGAGGGGGAAACGGGGGAATGAGGGGACATTCTGAGTAGGAAGGTCTGAGTTTGGGCCCCAGGGCCACCACGGTGATCACAAGTCCTGGGATATGGCTGGTCTTCATTTCCTCAGCATTAAAACGTGGCTTGTGAAAGATGACGATAAGTGGTCTTGAGACTATCCATTGCTATGCGAGTTCTGCTTCAAATTATTGCTACAAACGTGGGGAAGTCTAGGAAAACTCTGGCTGTCAATCTGCTCTGCTGGGGTGATAAGAAAATCAGTCCTAAATGGCCACATTGGTGCAGAACACGCCTCCTCTCAAGATAGCGTGACTGAGATCATGAGAGCTGGAGAGCTTTGGATGCCCTCCATGTGGAAGACCAGTCAGAATTGTCATTTCAGTGAAAACCGGGGTCAGAGTGCATCTGGTGAGCGGAGGGCAGGATGTTGTGACAAGTGTGCAGGACACAATTTTACTTCAATCTATGACTTTCTTGGCTCGTCTGGTAGGTCATCACAGTCCCTTCTTGCAAGTCATGCAATTAATTGTTTGCTAAGCGCTTGAGGGTCATGTTAAAGGCTCGTCCTATTTGGTTCTTGAAACAAGTCACAGTGGTTCTAGTGTCCCTGTTTTGCAGCTGTGGGGAGTGGGGCATGGAGGAGTAAAGATAACTTGCCCAGTGATCCAGGACGCTTGCTCTGGAATCTGTGGTCTGACATTCTAGAACCACCTGCCATCGGCTGGAGTTTTAAACCCAACACTACATGTGACACGGTCTATGAGGCTGCCAAATGCACTCCTGGAGTGTTCTCCTTAAGTGACCCCACTCCCCTACATCCCTCGACCCATTTTCCCTCTCTCGTTATCTCCCCACCTGCATCTCTTCTAGTCCTTAGGAGGAGGCATGTGGCCTCAATGACGGAACCATCTTTCTGATACTTGGAGACTGACTTTCCTCTTGCTCCAGGACCCAGCCTTCATCTCTCTCCAGATGTTTTCCTTCTCTTTCAGCCTTGTTCACCCTCTATTCCAGACACTGTCCTAAGCACCCCATGTGGGGGCTCTCGGAGTGCAGGGGACATGCTTGGGCATGATCACAGCACGCCAGGATCTCCGTCCTGTTTGTGAAGACAAGTTACTCCACTTTCCCCTCTGAGCCTGGGGATCTCCTCCGAGATGGAAATCAAAGGTCCTCCCCGTTTCCCTGGGAGGAAAACGCGCATTTCATAGCGAGGCAGAAAAACTTGCCAAAGTGACGGAGTTGGGCTCGTGGTGGCTCTCTGGGCGAAGCTGGGATCAGCTACTTAAGGAAACACCCCCCAGGGAGTAAAGGAGAAGCGCTGCTCCCTCCACTCCCAATCCTGCAGGGAGTGCCGTGGACTGTGGATTGAGAGGAGGGGGGTGGAAAGGAGGGATGGGGGTGCCTCCCCATCCACTGCAAGCTCCTGAGCCATTGGGGGACCTGGTCTTGGGACCAGTAAGACATGGAGTCTTAGCCGCTGGACGATCGCGCAAGGTCACAGCTTGTATGCAGAATGGTTAAACTCTACAGTTGAGTCATGTAGATCCCGTCGCTTATCACCTCGAAACACTGGTTGTTTTCCAGCTTCTGGATCCAGCTACCAAATCATAGAAGGACCCAAGAATGCAACGGTGCAGGTGGGCTGGGAGGCTCGCTTCAACTGCACCGTCTCCGAGGGCTGGAGGCTCATCATGTGGTCTCTGAACAGCACGGTGGTCCTGAGCATTACGCCCAAGGAGCCCATCATCACCAACGACCGCTTTACCTCCGCGAGTTATGAAGAGGGCAGTAACTTCATCTCTGAGATGATAATCCACGACGTGCAGCTCAGCGACGCAGGGCGTATCAAGTGCAGCCTCCAGAACAGTGACCGGGAGGGGTCAGCGTTCCTTTCCGTCCAAGGTGGGTATGCAGGTAGCTCTGAAGAGGAGCATTTGCAGTCCGCTGGGTTAAATGTCAGAGGAATCGAAGGGACCTTCCGAAGTTCATGTCATATACTTGTATGATGACATATGGGGTCTACCTTCAGTTGGTGTTATGCTTAGAATTATTGTGAACCAATGAATGTTGTTTTATTTGTGTATTTCTCCTCTCCCTTCCTAATTCTCTTTATATACTTCCTTTCTTTCTGCTTTTCTCCATCTCGCCTTTCACCTTTCCTTTCCTTTGCATGATTAAGACTCTTAAGGACAGGTTTTGTCACTTTCTCATCTAATCCATTTCAGTACCTAATAGCTTTTCTGGAAATAGATCCTGAAAGTCTTCTGGGGCCAGTTGCCATCACTTGTCTATGATTTAAAGAAAGTTGACAATCATTGCTCTTTCTCTACTTTTTCATATTCTTAACTCTGTCTCTTTTCCATGCATCATTTATCAACTTTTAATCATGCTAGAACTTTTTATCATGCTTTAATTTTTTCCTTCTTCTGGATGAATTTCCCCAATCTATTACTCTTCCCTGCTCTCAGTGGTTCTTACAGTTGAAGGTGTGTGTTCACTAAACATATGAAAAATTATTTAGGGAAAAAGAAAAGAGTCAACAAAATTTATCATAAGGGGCAACTTGTTTTTCATTCTCAGCGTTCGCTTTGAGGGGCTGTAGATCATGCTACATGATGAAAAAAATTAAAGGGTGCTTTACATGGATTCAGAATATCTTTGTCAAAATTTAATCACTTTGCATTCCTTAAAAATGTAATTATATGCTATTTATAGATGCGTTGGAGCTAGCAGAGCTCCCGAATCCTATGGCAGCATTTCTTACAACAGACCACATTATGTCTTTGAAGTTTTTCTCACGTCTATTTATTGACTCAGCTAGGAGAAATTCCCAAAGATTTGGTCTGCATTCATGTTGCTATCAAGCCAAATTTGGTAACAATTGGTGCAGATACCTATTTGTATTTGCCTTTCTTTTACTCAGCCAAATTGTTGTGTCTTTACTTTTTTGTGTCTTTAATTTCATGTGGTTTAATTAGGTGTGCAATGCTATTTTCTAACTAAGTGATTTTGTGGGGCTACCTGGATTACTGGCCTCATTTGCATTATCAGATTATTATGAAAATAATTTGTGGTATAAAGGAAAGAACACAGGAAAAGGAATCAAAATATGCATTCTGGTTTCACTTTCATCAGTTACCCACCTTGGTGGCCCCTGAATTGGCTCAATTTCTTCATCTTTAAAATGGGGACAAGGTTCCTCTGCCCACTTCACAGGATTCCTGTGAGGATCAGATGACAAAATGACTGAGGATGGCTGGAGACTCCAAAACCAGAGTGGTTTAGAGGTGAACAGTGCGGCCGTGAGAGCCCAACTGCCGGGTTCGAGTGCCAGCTTTATCACTGAGTAACACTGTGACCATGGATGTGTTATTGACTGACCTTGTGTCTAGTTTCATGGGGCTACTGTGAGGTCAGATGAGTAGGTCTCTGTAGTCTCCAGAACAGCACCTGGCTTATTGCAATCTCCAGAGAGTCATTCGCTATTATATACGTGGATTGCATCCTCAATAGGAGCACGCCGCTGTGCCAGGCACTTGAGGGGGACACAGAGATGAAGAGAGTAAGGCGCAGTCCTGCCCTCTAGGATGTTACAAGAAGCATCAATAATGCAAGTGTATGAATGACAGTGGTGCAGTGGAGATGCTGGCAAACGCAACGGCAGGGCGCCGAGCTTGGGTTCAAACTGGGAAGGGAGGTGAAAGGACCAGCAATGTCTTCAAGGAAAAGGCGCCTCAGAATGGCAGGATGGGGAAGCAAGAGGGGAGGAGAGCATTCCTGGATCAAGGAAACAGATCGAAGGCCTGACTTATTAGTGTTATGTGTATCAAGTATCAATTCATAAACCCGTGTGGTTTTATAGTGTCTTTCCCCAAAGCTATACATCTACACAGTATCTCCAAACCCGCCATTTTTATATGTTAATAACTACTGGAGCTTTTGGTTGTCAAACAGATGGAAGAACACATGTGTAGAGAAGTTCAAGTTTTCCCTAAGGTCGTGGGTAAGGAACCAGGAGAACAGGACGGAACTCGTGTTTCTTTCTGGCTCCATTGCTCTGAATGGTGCTTTGTTCTTAGAGGAACAAATGTTCTGTGAACCACAGAGTCTCTTTCAAGGGAAAAGAACCTTGAAAAAAAAAGAAACATCCAATTTATTTTGAAAGTGTATTATCCAGAGATTAGTTTTATCAGCAAGAAAAAATAAAGAGAACTTACGTAATTCCATATTGAGTCATCCAAAATCACCTTATATAAAGTGTTTGTCATGCTACCAGACAAGCTTTGTGAAAACCAATGGGAAAAGTTGAATTGCAAATATATACAGGAAAAGGAAATGCTTCCGGGTGTTGCATTTGTCCATTTTTGTTTCTCAATATGCCAATGAATCACACCAAATTCTAGACCTTTGTGTTTTGAGAGCCACTTTCTTTGGTTATTAACTGAGGCAATACCATTCCTCCAGGTTTCTGTCATCTTAAACTTCTCCATCAAACGGAACAATGAACAAACCAAAAAGAACAAAGATGAAACCCTTTAGCCTTAAGGGAAAAATCTGTTCCCCTCTAGTTGCATTCATGGTAGTCCTTGAATTAGCAAAGGTGCTTCACCTACTCCAAGAGAGTATTCAGGAAAGCAATAATTGGAAATTTAGCATTTCCAATTAGAGGAAGACTTGCTTTCAGAGCTGATCCAGTTCAGGCAGGTCTGGGAACCCCCAGGGTGTCTCCTATACCCTTTCAGGGTGGTCTGTGAGGTCACGACTGTTTTCACAATAATACTAAGATGTTAGTTGCCTTTCCCATTGTTCCCACACGTGAAAGGGGAGTTTTCCACTATACACTGGGAGGTACATCACTCAGTAAACCAGCGTTTTCCAAATGACTCATGTTAGGGGTGAAAGAGCCATTGTAAGTGCCAGATAGAGCAACGGATTTGACTCTAACAGTGAAATTTCCTTTATAGGTTTCACATTCTACAGCACAACTAACCTTTAAGAAACCACTTCTTGTCAAGTTTTGGTATAGTATCAAAGAAGAAATGATTCCATGATTACCTGAAAAGTCTATGAAATGCTCCTCACTATTTCAACTATATATCTGTGAGAAGTCAGATTTTCTTTATAAACTTCAAACAAAGCAATATATCGCAACAGACTGAATACAGGAGATATGAGAATCCAGCCAGACGTTAAAGAGATTTGCATAAATATAAACCAACATCACTCTTTTTACTAATTTATGTTGTTTAAAATGTAGGGTTTTTTTTCCGAAAAATACGTTAATCTATATTAACATATACTGGGTTATTATTTTTAAATGAATATTTAAAAATAAACTAATATTAAATTCTAATTTCAAACATGGCAAGTATTGATAGATACAACCCACATAAACAAAAGGTCTTTTGAGTCTTCAGTGATTTTTAAGTGTGTATAAGGTACAGAAACGAAAATGATTGAAAAATGATTGAAAATGATCAGAAATCATAATGATTGGAAACCACTGATCTCATCAAATCATCTCATTCAACAGCTGGAACGCAGCCTGAAAATTTTAATGACTTGCCCCAGGTGACGGCAATTTTGTGGGAAAGCCAGGATTGAGAACGGATTTGTTGATTCTTAGTCCAGTGTTCTTTCCATTATACAGTAGTATGCAGCTGGGTGTTCTGAATATTTTAATTGGAATGTTTCCATGTATCTCTGTTTCACAAAGGCTGTGTCTTTACCGGGCCAATCCTCAGGTTATTGTAGCAATGTTGGTGCACAGCAGCAGTCAGATGGGTTATCTACAGTGTGGACACTAGCACGTGCAAGTGGCTCCTTCATAAAAACTTCTAAATAATTTATCTGATTAATATATTCTGATGCCTGCTTGAGGGTAGTTATTTCTTTAATTATACTGGATTTGATCTTGATTTAACTTGTAACTAGAAAAACATTTTAAGACATATCATAAGAAGTCATGTTTAACGATGTGACCCTCTCCCTCCGTGTCCCCTCACCCCTAAAAAAGGGGAATCTAATTGACCAATGGGACTTCCCATAGACTGAGGTGTGTCCACCTTACGATGAATGGGAAGGTTATTTCTCTTTTGGCTTTGGCTGCCAGGACAGCCCAGGACAACTTTACAACTTCCTTCGGGGGCTGTTTAGCCCCCACGGCAGGCACTGCCCTCTCTTTTCATATGATTTATATTCCCCTGATTCCTGATTTATATTTAGTTCTCTGAAAGTATGTGTCCTCTGGTGAGCAATCTCACCTTCCTCTGTGAACTGGCAAGTACAAATAAACCCATGGGTATGACCTGAATGAAGGTTCCCCGTTACAGATGCAGCCACTGTGGGTTTGGGGTGGTAGCTCCCATGCAATGTGAGTTGAAGGAGAAATAAAGGAAACCTGGGACTGAGAGGCATGGCCATTCTTTCAGAATGTTTCTCTTTTCTTCTTTAGTGGTGGGGAAGTTGACCATTCCCAATAACAGTCTTGTAGTCGCTGAGGATGAACCTTGTAATGTGACTTGCGATGCTGTGGGCTGGATCCCACTCCCAGCTCTCTCCTGGGAGATCGGTGTTCCAGTGAGGCATTCAAGCTATTACTCCATTTTGGATCCCAACAACCTTCAAAACGCAGTGAGCGTCCTGACCCTGACGCCACAGGACAATGGGACTTTGACCTGCGTGGCTACCATGAGGGGGCTGCAGGACCCCAAGTCTGTAACTGTGAACCTTACTGTGCTTCCATCTCCCTTGGGTAAGTGAAGCCTTTTTGCTTTATGTAAATGATTACTGCATGCTTATATTGTCTGTGCCGTGCTGCCTGACCTTAGGGCCTAGGAAAATCGTAAGGGGGTCTTTATTTCCGGTAGGATGGTAATGGAGACAAAAATACTTGTAGCGTCAGCGTAATGACCCTGCTATTTCACTTGCTTTTAAAATCACATCTACTTTTCTTGCTTACATGTGAAAATCATTACGAATCTTGACAACATTAGCATAAAACAGCATCAAGTTAAGAGATAAATACTTGAATTCAACGTTTTTCTCTAACTTTTCCCCACTGTTCTGGTTTGATCCTATTCTTGGGCCAATATGAAGCAAGCTCTCCTGCTATCTGAGGAGGGCGCACAGGTCTTCTCGGATTCCTTCCAATCATGGTGGAATTAGAATGTTTCATTTTTTACCCAGGAAATCCACAGTGTATTTGAAAGTACCAAGTCTATGGATATATTTTTTAAAAATTATTTTTTATTGTGTATGGATATTTTTTTAATGTGACTAAATGACATAAGTTTCAAGTTTAGACCCCAAACAGAATCTACTGTAGGGCCTGTGGCATACCAGAAACTCTGACCACACAGCTTCAGGGGCCACAGAGTCTGCCTGACCTCGGAGCCAGCCTGGGCCAAATAGAAAACGCAGGGGTTGAGGGCTAGAGATCGACTTGAACGCCTCCGTTTTACAAAACAGGAAAGAAAGGAGGCTGAGAGAAGTGCTACAGCCAAAGCAAGATGATGATGATATAGTAATAATGATGATGATGATGATAATAATACTAGTAATAATCAGCACTACATAGTACTTATCAAGTAAAGACATTGTTTTAAACTTCTCAAATATTAACACGCAGTCCTCTGAGGGGTTGCTGTTATTATTCCTGTTGTAGAGGTAGGTGACTGGGGCACACTGTTGTTTGGAATTGGCCCATGTCCAGATGTCACGTCCTGCGTGGCAAGGGCAAAGGGGACACGAGAGGAGTGACGCAGATTGAATAAGAAAAAGAGACAACAGTCAGATAAGAGCGAGACCAAGGGACTCAGCCAGAGAAGACTGAGCCCCGAATCAGGTCAGCGCATGGCTTTTATTGAGAATTTTCAAAGAAGTAAAACTGCTGTAAATTAGCAACCGTGTGTGATTTGTGCCTTAAGGCTGTTTTCCATTAACCAGTCCCCATTGTATTCCAACAAATGCTATGCCTTCATACATCTGCCACATAGCCCCAGGACACCTTGTTACTGTGTCCTCCCAGGGGAGATGACTGATATCATTCCATCAGGTCCCAGTCATACTGAGACACTCCCCAGAGAGAGCTTTACCGATATGATTCCACCGGGCCTCGGTCATACCGAGACACTCTCTCAAGACTAATAGGGTTAGAGGCTAATGCAGAGGGGGTGGTCTTGGAATCGGCTGTAAGGCAACATCCAGAGAGGTAGTAAATGGTGAGCGGTGACCTTGCCAGTCTGGTTTCAGAATCTGCTCACCTGTCAACTGTGCCTCCACTGTGTGAGCAGACATCCAAGGTGCAGGAGAGTCCTGGGGCTGCCGAAACACAGTGCCACAAAGCAGGTGGCTTAAACAGCAGAAATATATGCTTTCACAGTTCTGGGGGCTGGTTGTCCGCGGTCAGGGTGTCAGCAGGGTGGTTCCTTCTGAGGTCCAGGAGGGGGCATCGGTTCCAGGCCTCTTCCTGAGCACCTGGTGGCTGCTGGCCATCTTTGTGTTCCTTGGCTTGGAGACACATCATTCTGATCTCTGCCTCCATCTTCATGTGGCCTTCTCTCTGTGCGTTTGTGTCCAAATTTCTTTTTCTTATACAAGTATCAGTCCTATTGAATTAGGGCCCACCTTAATCAGTATGACTTCATCTTGAGTAAATTACATCTGCAATACTCTTATTCCCAAAGTCAGGTCCCATTTTGAGGTACTAGGAGTTAGTACTTTAACATATAAACTTTGGGGGGGGGACACAATTCAACCCAGAAGAGATGGTGTCTCCGTGAACCTGTAAAAAGCCATTCAGAGCCCATCCTGTAGCCAGCAGCAGTGGCTCTGTGCTTGCACTGCTGGAATTGGTCCCCAGTGTGGTCCCACACAAGCTCGCTTCCCCAGCGTTAAGCCTTTGTCTGTCGTCTTCAGCTCAGAGTCCCCAGAGACCAGGCAGACAAGAGAAATGAAAGCATGAGTGAATACATGTGTCAGGTAGCAGATGGGCAGAGGGGACCAGACAACATGCGCCGTCCACAGGGAGCAGCTCCAGCTGGTGTTGGCAACAAAAAAGGGGGCAGGTACCCAAGGCTGCCAGATCTTAGACCTGGTTCTGGTGTAAATATCAGTGCTTTTGAGGGTAAAAGACATAGAAATCCGTGTTTTCTTGATTTTAAGTCAAGGTTCATTTAGTTTAGCTCATTAAATTCAAAGGAGGTTAGCTTATCCCCCAGCAAGACTATATAAGAAGATGAAGCTAAAATTCAACTAGCTTATTACTTTGAACAATTAAAAACCTTCAGAAAAGTTGTATACCGACGTACCTTTCCCTGGATACAACAAACGTTAACCTTTTGCCATGTTTGCTTCTCACTCTCAGCTTTTCTTTTTTCTTTCTTCCTTTCTTTCTTTTTGGCTGAAGCATTTGAGAGTTAGTTGGAGACTTCATGACACTTACCCCGAAATACGTCAGCACGTGTATCATAAGACAAGGCTATTCTACAAAACTCCGACACTGTTGGCAGTTAGGAAATTTAACATCAATACAATACTATCATACAATACACAGTCCATACCCACATTTCCCCAGTTCTCCTTTGTAGCTGTTATTTTTTCTCAAACCAATATCCAGTCAAAGATCACGCATCGCCTTTGGCTGTCAGGTCTTCTTTAGGTTCCTTTAACCTGCAATGGTTCCCCCCACCCCTTTTTTTGTCTTTCCTGATATAAACATTTTTGAAGCGTTCTGACTATTTTTGCAAGATGCCCTTCAATATGGATGTGTCTGACTTTTTCCAGCACACTTTGATTTAGGCTAAATATGTTTGGCAAGACATGGGTCATGTCATGTGGGCCCATGATGCCGATTTTCTCTATCACTGGAAATAAGTTTGACCATTTGGTCAAGGTGGCATCCCCGAATTTCTTCATTGTAAAGACATTTTTGCCTTTGTAATTAATATGCAATCTATGAATACTGTGTGAATATCAGGTTCCCAATAGTCTCTCACCTCATAACCTTTGCTTTTATCAATAAGTCATTGCCTGAATCAATTATTTCTATGGTGGTTGTAAAAGAGTGATTTCCTGGTTCCATCATTTTTCTATATTTACTAGTTGGCATTCTTCTGTAAAAAAGAGATGCCCCTCTCCTGTTTTTCCTGTTTTTCTTTTTTTTAGCAGTTCTAGCATGGACTCATTTGTATTCACTCCATTATAATTTGCTGCGGTCGTTATTCATTCTGATGGCTCACATCTGATGGCTCAGATGGCTCCAGGTTTGGCCCGTGGGAACCCCTTCCAGCCGGCCCTGGTGTCCTTTCAACATGTCCCTGTTAGTTTTTGAGCACTTGGCCCAATAAGATGCTCCGAACCCTCTCAGCATTTCGTCTGTTGGAGCCTGGAACTAGCCATTTTTCCAAGGAGCCAACCCAGCTTGCTTTAAGCTATTTAAATGATATGATAAAGCATGGTTTAAGGCTTTGAAAAGGAAGATTGAAAAAAAGTTCCATTAACACCAAATGGAATGAAATCGACTGTTTAAACCACACATCTTAACAAGGTAAAGACCTCTGGCTTGACTGAGGATGCCCGTAGCACTGAAGTTTGGAGATTTGCTTGCCTGCAAAGTTCTTCTTTTGTGGGGAAAGGGCAGGGGACACTTAGTTTTCCTTGACCAGGTTTAATTCAGCTGAATTTCTCTTAGACGAGGACTAGTGAAGTGAGCGGCCTTAATGACGGCAGCTGGAGTCCCGACAGCCCCACAGAGGAGAGCGCAGTGGGTGCGTCACAATGAGCTTAACTTGATTGGACTCAATTGGAAGAGGCTAATTTGCTTCTAAATTATTTATCCAGACCCAGGGCAGCTGATGGCTGGCTGTGTGTTGTGTGTTTTATGTACGTTTTAGTAGTGGAAGACCTCATTACAGCTGGTAACCAGAAGGTTTCAAGGAGAGCCCGCACCGGGTTCCCGGACAGCCCAGAATGAATGAGGCTGTGCCTGCCTCAGCTTCTTCAGGCGTCCGAGAAACATCGGGCCTGCCATCTGTTTCCTAAAAATGTAAGGAGTTTGTGTTCATTTCTGGAATCATCCCTTTAAGTCACGGCCACGGCAGCTTAGGAAGCCTAATTAGGCCAGAAAGTTGTATGAAGCGCTAGTCAGTTCTTTAGAGAAAAGCATGTTGCAAGGGCTAAGCTGATGTTTTTGAAAAAAAACAGCTTTCTCTCGATTCCGGAAGTACTCCAAGCTTCCAGCACTGCAGGCACACCTACAACGGAAAGCCCCTCTCTGGCCCGCCCAGAGAGAAACACCCTCTGCCCCACCTGCGCAGCTGGATGGGTTTCTCTGCAGTTCTGAGCACTTACTTAAGGGGACAGGCTCTGAACTGTTAAAACAGAGCAATCATTGTGTGACACACAAGCACCACGCAGAGCGGAGTGACTCCTGGTCCTAATCTTGGTTTTGTGAGAAGTGGCAATTTCCAGGGCCGATAAGAGTGGCGGGAGTGACCGTCCTGGGTCGTGGCTCTGGTGCGGGTGATGCGACTCTCGGCAGGTGACTGAGCTTTGGGCTCAGTTTTCCTGCCTGTAAATTGAGTGGAGAAGGGCAGGGCCGACGTGCTTTCCCCTGGCTGCCCATCAGTGTCCAGGGAACTGGAACACTAAGGCCCCACCCCAGAGGCTCTGACTGAATCGGTCTGTGTGGAGCCTGGGAATTGGCATTTTTAAAAGAGCCCCCAAATTGCTCTACAGGGCAGTCATGATTGGGGGCTACTGAGCTGGAAAATCCCCAAAAGCCCCACCTCCCGACCCAGTCTCATCAGGTGCTACTATCCACCCAGACTTGGACCCCAGACAACCTGGACTTAGATGCCATCTTACCTACTTACTCACTGTGTGACTTTGGGCAAGTTACTTAACCTCTCTGTGCCTCAGTTTTCTCATCTGTAAAACTGAGATGATAATAATAATACCTACCTTATAGGATTGTTGTTGGTGTAAGAAGTAAGTAAGCAGGTTAAGATGCCTAAAGCACTTAGGACAGTCACTGCCTCAGGGCACACAGGACAGGAGAGTGAGTGATTGCCATCATGTATTTTATTGATTCAGACATCTCCAGTGTCCCTTCCAGTCAGCACGGGAGCATGCATTGCACGTGCTGGTGGTGACATTTTGTATTAATCCAGTTGGTTTCAAGAAACTGTATGTGTGCCCTTTCAGAGCTCTGAGTTTGCCTGGGAGAGCATCTGGGATATACTATTTTCCTTTTCTTCACAGATGGGAAAAGGACAGCCTCCAAGCTGAGATTAAAGTCCCACAGTAAAGACAGAAACGCAGCCCTAATGTGCATGCAGCTGGGTGAAGGGACGTAGGGAGGGAGGCAAGCTGTGTTGACCTTGGAGATAACCTCCCTTAGTCACTATTTGTTGGTTACTCAGTGTAGTTTACTCATCCTCTCCAGAGAGTCTGCCCTTCACCTTGAGTCATCACGCCCATGCCCTTCAGTAAGGCACAGGTCAGGGGTCAGCGCCCACCCAGACTCCCTATTTCCTGCACAACATGGGCTGTATCTTCCCCAAACAGGAGACCCAACTTGGCAGAATGGACAGACATGAGTCAGGCCCCTGGGGTTTTCCTGTTCTGAGCACCTCGTCCAGTTTAGCGAGTCTCTTCGTCCTGAGTGTCTCGCCTGCACGATGAAGGGGTTGGATTACGGACGAGATCATTCCAAGATTCGGGGTTTTCTGTCCACTGTCATGGTTTTTGATTTACCAACATATGATTATTTTTATTTTAATCACTGTAAATGTACTCATTTAAAAAAACTAGCTTCATACTAAACAAAAATCTCTATGATATATATGCATTTGTATATATGTCATATATGACAAATTAAAAACCGTGATTAAAATAAGCAAGTTTTTCTGGGTGGCTCCCGTACCCAGTCACACCTCCCCACACGCACGCATACACCACGCTCCTCTTTGGGCTCCACTGGAGCAGAGCGAGAGCGCGGAAGTCTCACCTAGGTGTGAAAGTCAGGGGTGATGTGACCCCCAGGGGAGTGTGGTCACAGAAAATAGGAAGCGGAAGCATGTGCCCTGTGGTTGCTGATATCAGTTGCTGTTTTCGTGAGAGTTTGGGGTTTTTAGGTGAGTGCAGGCAATGTTCAGCTGAACCTGGTGGTCAATTAAGGTACAGAGGGAGTGAGGTCCCACCACCGCCTGCTTTCCTCCTTGAGCTGGTCACCACCCCAACGAGGTGGCCCTTCCCTTTCCTTAAACAGGTCTTCCCTGAGGGTAAGAGGCTGTCTTTGTGCTCAATTGCAAGACAAAGGTTGTCGTGTCAAGACTGGGTTGACAGAAGCGTGGTACACTGGTAGTTTTCTCCAGCAGCGGAGGAAAACACCCCTGATAGGGAGTATTTGAGTAAGTCGACAAGTGTGTTGACTCTTTCCAGTATGAATTTCAAGACTATCTCTTGAATCTCGAGCCAGACCTTAATGTTTAACCCCAACTGGCTCCCTCATTATGAAAACTTCTACTATGTAACATATTCAAGGTGTGAAAAGTTCACCAGACTAAATTTAGGATGACCACAGCAATCTCAGACATGTGTGTTATATGTTACAGTGTTCTCAGCACTTTCGCATACCTCTCTGAATAGCCCGGTGGGGCAAGAATTGTTACAGGTGACTGAGCCAGAGGCCAAAGTAAATAGTGGCCGTAACATTTCACTCTTCCACTGACATGAAGCCCAAAGCTTTTTGTCAGTGATGAGGCTTCCCCGCGGTGGTCTGATTTTAAACTCCAGATTGTGAATATCATAAATGCAGTTTTGGACTTCATAATTTTATTATCATGCCTGTGAGAGGGACAGCATGGGAACATCCTATAATGTGGCAGGTCGCTTGGGCAGTTTTGGCTGCACACCAGGGATTCTCCAAGTGTGGGTCACCAACCGCCTGCATCAGAATCACCTGGGTGCCATTCCAGACCCTCTGACTTGGCACCACTGGGGGTGGGCTCTGAATCTACATGTGTAACAAACATTCCAGGTGACACTTGGGGTTCTCTCTGGAACAAGGGCATACGTCCTATTGCTCTCTGGATGTGAAGGGACTGGCTTATCTTAATGCTCCAATTTTTTGGTATCTCTTTTCCTATCTCTATCTGTCCCAGCTCATCTTAGAAAAATGGAGGGTGATGTGGAGATCCATCTATCAGTCCATCTATTTATCCATCCATCCATCCATCCATCCATCCATCAGTCCATCCATCCATCCATCCATCCATCCATCCATCCATCCATCCATCCATTCATCCATCCATCAGTCCATCCATCCATCCACCCACCCACCCACCTATCTAAGGTTCCCAATATGTGTCAGGTGGTTGGGATTCTTGACCTTGAGGGCACTAAATATAGTTTAGATAGTACAGATGTGTAAGAGGAAGTGGAAGTGACAGCATTTGATTTCATAGACATTTAAGATGGCAATGAATATGAGATGTTAAAAAAAGGGAATGTTAAAAAAAACCATCGCAGGACATGCAGAGACGCTTTGCACAAAGGGCAGAAGACTACTATTTTGTATTACATAATTCTTCAAAGCACAGAGTTCTTTGCACTTTAGCTTGCTTTGAGACAAGTCTGTGGATTATTTGCTTGCCCGTGAGTCAGCGTTCAGGTGGCTGATGACTGTAGACACCAGCACACTAGTGGCCATCTCTAACCATTCCTACAACTTCTGAGCAACTAACTTTGACACAGGGATAGCAAACTATGATTTCACGGTCAGTTTTCAAGGAAGACTCTCAGTAAGAACATCCAAGAGCTGTTTTCCATTATAACCTCTGGTTCCAAAGTGCGGGAAGGACGTTGATTTAAAAGCATATCTAATCTCCCTTCATAGGAAGTCTGTTGTTTTAATATTCTCTGATGACTAGCATCTAATAAAATAGCATTCATTCACACTGAGATACACCTAGGCACTGAGGGCACCAGGTGGCAGACTTCATTGAATAGCAATTCTCATTTAAGCAGATCAGCTTAAATGAGTGGTTTGCCTTCCGCGTGGTTCCCTAGCGGGAGATGATCTAGGCTCTTTGGAACATCAGTGCAGTTCCCACAGCGCGGGGCTAGGCAGCGCTGTCCACCCCGACTCTCCGTGATGAAGGCGATGTTTTACACTTGTGTCACTTGAGCGCTTGAAAGGCGGCTAGCGCCACTGAAGCGCTGAGTATTTAATTGTATATAATTTTAATTAATATAAATCTGAATTCAGATAACCGCCTGACATGTATTGGACAGCTCTGGCGAAGACATGACTGCAACAAATCAAAACTTTTCTTCTCTCCTTCCATCTCTCCCTATTCTCCTCCTCCTTTCATTTCCTCCCTCAGCCTTTCTCTCTCCCAACTCCGTGAGGAGCGAAGAAAAACAGAAGGGCAAAGTGGACGCTAAGGAAGGTGGTTCGAGAAGGGCCATGGAAAGAGCAATTTACTAGATGAGAAATGAAGTCTGTGGGTGGGGACTGGGCGGCACTGGAGCGCAGCCTTGGCGCCAGGTTCCTTCAGGGGTGACCCTTCCTCAGTGTGTCCGCCTTTCCTTTGGGCTCTGGACTCAATGGGCGGGGACGTGGAAGCGAGCATCAGACGTCAATCTTCCAGTCTTGTCCAGCAATAGCTGCTCAGTACATGTTTCTTGACTAAGTAAAAGCTGCCTGAGGATGGTGGTCACTACGGCAGGCGGGGGCAGCTTATCCACCTCCCAGGAGTGGGAGAGGCGTTCACCAGCCAGTACGTGGACTGGGCCACTAAGCAGGTTTGATTGACAGCAAGAAGTGTTATAGTGGAAAATGCTGCAGAGGATTGAATATTCAAGTATACTGAAGGGATGTTGGCCTATGACAGCAAGCCATACCAGGCTGAATGCTTATAACAGTTATACTATTATTATAATCTTATTTGGAAACCATAATCTGACTTATAGTGTCGCAGAGCCCGAGACAGGCGCAGGCAAGCCTCACTAAAATCTTTCTCTTTCTCTTCCAACTCTCTAGGCGATAATGATGAGCCAGGTGCACCCCTGCCCACCTGGGCCATCGTCCTGCTCGCAGTCTCGTTTTCCTTGCTTTTCATCCTGATCATTGTTCTGATTATAATATTCTGCTGCTGTTGTGTCTCCGGGAAAGAGAAGAAAGGTAACTTTTTGGTTCATCTGGATTTCTATACGTTTTTGAACTTGTGGTCCAAGCAGTTGAGCTCATCAGCTCTTTCAAGGACTTTTCAAGTCCTTGAAAGGAAATGTGTGCAATTCTCAGAGAGGGAAAGGACTTTCTTGAGGAAGGCAGCCATTCCACTGGGGCCTGAGGCAGCCCCTCCAGAAAAGCAGGTGACGAGGTGGCACCTTTCTCACCAAACACGCTATTGGATTTTTGGGCTTATTTGCGAGGCTATAAGGCTATTGTGATCTGTCATTTAGACACTATGTTTTGTTCTAGAATAATACTGACCTGTCTGATCACACTAAAAGATTGGTTCCTGTTTTGTGGAATCCCAAATCTCCCTGTGTAGGTGAATGTTGACGTAGTGGGAGGAAGAACAAAATAAGCTTCTGTTAACAAAAATAGTACAAATAAAATTAATAAAAATAATTACACGTGTCTTCTGAATGAGGTCTGTTGAGATTTTTCCAGACATGAAAGCGGTAACCACCCCCTTGTTTGGGGGTCAGGCTCAACACTGGGGTGGTCTCATCAACATGGGGCGGGCTTGTTACAGAGCTCGGCGGTTTGTGATGTCAGAAACCGAAGGGTCTTTGGCATCTGGATGGCTCGGGCCTTTCCACGTGCTGACCGTGTGTGTTTATCCTCAGCTTTCTCTTGGAAAACTTTCACTTCCTTCTATTTGAATATTTTCTGCAGTTAAATTATTTTTCTTAAAATCAGAATTTGGATGGTAGCCTACATGTCAGTTTCATTGTGTTTTTAATGTTGTTAACACTAACCGCCATTCTATGGGCACTTTGTGTGTGTGCACGCAGGTACTGTGTTAAGTAACTCTTTTACACGAAATAGCCCTCTTAGTGCAACCTGCCATGTCATGTGCAGGGTCTAGCCTTGACTAGGCTGATGGTCTAGCCTTAGCTCCTTCCTGGACTGAATTTGTGATCGGGGAATTAATTCTGTGATGTAACATTATTCTCTAGGAAACAGAAAGTGAAAAGTCACGAACTCCTGTTGACCCAGAGTTGATGGGAATTTGTGTTCACCTGGGAGTTACCCTATCTGGCACAGATGGATTACTCCAACAAAATAGGCTGGATTTGAAATGAAACTATTGGATAACTGCAATTTTAATTCGGGAATGACTGGGACAGTTCAGTGCTTCCAGATGACCACTTTCCAGAGTTAGCTTTTGTGGGGTAGCTGGACATTCCGGTAATTTGGACCCTGCGCCCCTTGGGTTTTTGTCTGTTCTGCATTAGCCTAGTAAGAAGGTTTGTGATGTTGGTGGCCCATGTAGGATGTGCAGAAGCGTGATTCTCTGAGTCTTAGCTTCCTCGTCTACAAAATGGGAATAAAGACTATCCTATAGATTGGCTGTGAGAATTAAGTTAACAAATATATTAAATATTTTTGCGATCTGTCCCAGATTTTATCATTTATTTAACTTTGAGATAGAAAACCCATGTAAGAATGAGCTGTTTTTAGTACCCTGGTTGGTCACAGGTCCAGGTAAGGGCTATAAACAGGGCCTGTGACAACCTACTTACAACGCCCACCCCCACAGGTGTCACTCACAACAAACATTACACGTCATGTTGACATAAGTGTAAAGAATCTGGTGATGACCTGGATTTCCCCATGATAATTATTTCCATGCATAAAAATATTAAACATCAAGTTTTTTCAATAGTATTTTCTGGTGCTCTGCTCTGCGGTGCCTGGAGAGGGGACCGACTGAGGACCCCAATCAGCGTGGCCTGGAGGCCTTGGGGTCACAGCCTCTAGAGCACAGGGACCAAGAGCCCATGTCCTGCAGCTTGGCCCTTAAGGAAACACCAGAGATATTCTCCTCTCACCAGAGGGGAACCAGACAATCTTGCTCCTTCAATTCAAATAAGATTGTGTCTGAGATTCAATTTGAGGTTTGAATCAACAGATTTATTAGAACTGAAAATAAATGGGAACATTATCTAAAAAATAAGGAAAATGAATGCTTTTTAGATTTCATGCAGCTTGATGCATGAGACAGGAAAGCAGACCTGCAAAGAACACTGGCTTTCGGGACAGACAGCTGTGTGTGGCTCGGTTACCCCTTCATTTTCTTTTCTTTTTTTTTTTTTTTT